CCGGCGGGCGGGGCGGCGCGGCGCTGCCATGGCGGCGGCGGTGGGCAAGGCGGCGGGGGTAGCCTACGGGCACGGCGAGAGCGGTGGGGGCCGCGGCGGCGGTTTCCTGGGGCCGCGGGTGCCGGCCGAGGTGGAGGCCATGGCCCGGGGCGTGCAGGAGCTGGGCAAGGAGACCTTCCGGCGGCTCCTCAAAGGTAGGGCCCGAGCGCGGCCTGCCCTCGGCGCGCAGCCCTGCCCCGGGGCTCCCCGATGCGGGCCGGGAAGGGGCACCCGCGGTCCCGCCGCCTCCCTCAGGGAAGCCGTGGGTCCTCTGAGGAAGGCAAGGACGGCCAGGGGGTCTGCTCTCCTCTGCAGCGCTCCTGGGACGCTTTTCCCTGCGGGAACCTAAAGCCGAGGGTTAAATACGGTGATGGGTTTTCTTGGTTGTATTCTAAAATTCCGTAAAATCCGTAAGAATGAGGTACGGAGCTGCGGATGGCCCCCAAAATCATAGTGAGGGCTGTTAAAACCATTCTGCTCTCACCCCTCGGTCCCAGGGCGAGTGGTCGAGTCACTGTCAGGCTGTGAAAGTCGGGGAGCGCATGGATATTTCCATAATGTGCAGGAGAAAATGAAGGCGCCTCGGAGTGCAGGCGTCACACGGAATTTGGGGCTCTAAGATTGAAAATGCTCTGCCTGTTTGATTTTGGTCTGTGAGGTTCTTCCTGTGGTAAGGCCAGACAGGTGAAATTTTCTCAAGGCACCTTTGACCACCAAAATCAGAGTTACTTGGTTGAGTAAATTATTGTAGGCAAAATAATCACAGAATAGTCAAAGAGAAGAGCTAATTGGCAGAGCAAACGGCTTGTTTGTGGCCAGCTGAGAGGAGACCGATGGCTGCACAGCGTGGGATAGTGCTGCGACCCGAACGTGCACGTTCTCTCAGCAAACTTGCTCTCAGGCTTTTTCTTCCTGATGTGAGTCAATGAGGACTCAAAGCCTGTGGTAGCTGGTTTGTCTTTAGGTGTGACAGTGTCAGAAAGGGAGCGATGTATCCAGGGTTTCCTTACAATGATTGAAATTAGTAAAGCTACATATCGGCAGAGACACTTGGGACAAAAGTAAACACAGATGTTGGACCATATTTGCTGTCTAGTGCAGGAGCAATGGAGACCAAAAAGTTCTATCAGACCCAGGAAGCCTGACTGCCTCCTAAACCCTGTTTTGGATTAATTTTGATGTAAATTATCACCTGCATTTAGGTATGCAACAAATGCTTCGTACTGCAGGGGGAGCAAAGAGTCCTTCAAAACCATCTGAAGCCAGGGCAGGTGACCCTACCCGGTGCCCGTGTCCCCCAGCGTGGATGGAGACAGCCTCCAGACCGTGCAGAGCTGGCACAAGTTGTCTTCTGCTCTTGCTGCTCTGTGGTTAACAGCTTGCAGGACAGCGCCTTTTTCCCTTAAAGGTTTAGAAGTCTTTGAAGACGTTAAGACAGCTTTCAACAGAGTATATTTAAATTGCTCTGGCACTGGCACCAAGTTAGTTGTTTGAGGCTGTTGCTGTTACTCTATTGCTAAAATAATAGCTGATACCAAAAATGAGATGCTGCTTCATATGCCTGCTCAGTTCATGATGTAAAAACTGCATATATCATTATCTCAGGGTTATCCAGCCAGTGTTATTGCAGGCTCTGCTAAACTGCAAGTATAAAGTTTGAGATCTCAGGCATCTTCTACTAGGAGCAAAGGACCCAGCAGTGAGATTTTCATGGGTGCTTTGGGGTTATTCTATTTTTTTCTCCCTCAGATTGACTGTTGGAAATATTCATACAGCTGACGTTTTTGAGTTTCCTGAGCTATACTGAGTAAAAAATCTTGTATTCTAGAGTAATGCAAGTAAGTTGTTAAAGACGACATGGCTTTTTAACCAGTTTTTAAGGTTGGTCAACAGAAAGACCAATATCGTCATTAAAGCTGTCTAGTTAAAAACTGTAAGCAACCTGTTGTTCTTTGAAGAAACAGATCAAAGTTGTATTTAAGTATGTAAGCAGACAGAGACCTGTTTCCTGCTCTGTGCATGATCTAGTAGACAGGCCTCAGTGCTGAGCTGCATTTGTCCTTTCCTGTAAATAGACTCTTCTCAATGTCAGTTTTATTGTCATAGAGCAGAACCTCTTTCAGAAAACCTTGTACTAGCACCTTAGACATTCTTGCTACCTTGTGTGAGATCTGCCTTGCAGATAGCACCAGAGAAATTCAGTCAGCCATGTGAATGATCCAGGACTTGCCACTGAATTTGGTGTGTGTTTAAAAATGTAAAAAGCAAAGATAATTTATCCAGAATTAGAAGATGGAAGACACCTAATACCAAAAGGAAGGCTGACAGTTTGATTAAAACTCTTCTTTTTGGTTTCAAGTTTTTTTTTTCCTTCCCCAACATTAGTATTAAGCTTATCTCTTAGTGTTGGCTTTCAGTAACACTTTGTGGATGTTTTTAACTTCTCATATTTTATTCACTGCACTAATATGGCTCATTGTAAATGACTAATCTAATTCCCCAGTCCTGCAATGGGATTGTGTCAGTAGTCTTTTTTATCCACAGTGGGGCTACCTGTGGCTCCAGCAGTCCATGCAGACTGATCAGAGTGCAGGACAGAGGCTGACATCACAACAGAAATTTGTATAAGGCAGGGCATATATGGAAAAAGGAAGAATAACTGAATGGTGAAGATTGAGATAATCGCACACCACTTATTAGTGTATAATATTGCCACATGGATGAACAGTAATTTGTATTATCGGCAGTTGTGCAAACTACAAGACTTGAAGGTTTAGTTTTGTCTTCTTCCTCATTTAATCCTTTGTCTCTGCTGACATTGCAAGATAAATTAATTATGTAAAACATTGGAGAACAGTGTTGAGTTTTTCACTCTCTCAATCCTCTCTTAGCCTGTGTATCAGAAGTGTAATTAAGCTGTAAGCAGACTTTTGATGTGAAAAAGTTTGTTGATAGAAGCTCAAGTTGGATTTGTACTCGTGAGCTAATTTAATTTTTTTTTTCTTTTTTTTTCATTATCCCACTGGAACAAATTTCAGCAGTGAAAACATCTTCAATTTTACAGTGCAAAAGCCTAATCCATTGAAGCTCTTAGTAGTGTTGTGAGACTGACGTGCGGTGGTAGATGATCAGGTGTGTTTACAGAGACCTGAAGTGACAGTTTCACATCAGGAAAAATGTCAATACATTAAGTAAAATCATAGACATGTTTATGTGAATGTTCGCAGTCTCCAGGTCTTCCTCTTTTTGAAGGGATCTTACTTTGCTTTCTTATTCACAGTCACTGTTAATGCATTGGAAGGAAAAGACTGCAAGGAATCTGTCAAGCTGATTGCAGAGAGCAGTAATCTCTCAGAAGAGCAACTTGCTTTCCTCATTTCCGGCATGTACACCCTTCTCCGAGAAGCGTTGAGACTCCCCTTATCAACTTTCAAACAAGAAGTAGGTTCTGGGAGTACTTGGAATCCTGATATGTTAAAAGTTGCGTTAGACACGAGTTACCATCTAAATTCTATTTGCCAGGGTGGGGAGCTGAACATCAAAAAGTTAAAGTGGTTGGAAGAGACTTAAAAATGTTGCCAAATGTCTAGAGCTTGTTATTTTACTTGTTGGGTAGATTTACAGTGAGCCTTTTGGAAGAGTATTTAAGCTTTGGGAAAGACGTTCCTGTATCTCCTGCTTCAGCATTTTGTTTACTGTGCAATTTGTTTTCACTCTTAAATTAAAACCCCAAAAGAAACCGTTGCAAAGTGTTACTTCATTGGCATCAGCTCTCTCTCTTACCCTAACTGTGTGTTCACACATACCACTCATTTTGTCAGCACATATAATTTCTCATATTTCTTTGCCTGCCTTTTTTCATACTTCTGTCGTAGAGGAAGGAAGGTCTTATGACCAGAACAATATAGTGGAAATTGGGAGAAAGTGCTGTTTCTATTTATAATACGGATGTTCTGTGAGAATATGTATACATCTGCCATGTTCCCAACTCCTAGTCCTTCTTCATGGCTATTTTATTTCCTTTTTTCATGTTTCATTTCCTTTACCTTATATTTTTTCTTTTCTTATTTTATGTGAGTGAACCTCTTCTAGGCTTCCAGCACCTCTCTCTTGTTTAAGATACTCTTTTCATATTTACCCAGCTGTACGGGGAAAGCTCATGTATCGCAGGAAACATGGTGAAAGTATGTTCTTAGTATTCAGAGCTTATCTTTTGCCACTTCCATTTGGTTGTCGTAGTTTAAACAAGTTACTGCAAAACATATTTGAGAATAAGGGCACATAATTACTCTAAAAGAAGAATATGTTATGGATAGCTACATGAATGAAATGGCAGGGATGTTGTTTTCAAAAGTTAAGGCTTCCAAGAGATTTACGTCTTTAAAATTAGTTTCTCACAACTTGATTGAGCATTTCTGGAAATTCTTAATATGTAAACTGTCAGTTCAAAACTATCGGCATTCAAGACTAAAACTTCTAGGGAGAGACACCAAGCAAGTAACCACTATTAATTCACTAGGTAATGATTTTTCAAGACTACATCCTGTAAAATTTCACCCTTATTGTCTTTCTAGGTTTTTAAGGAAGACCTAAAGGAGCTCAGGTATGCCTGCTTATGCCTGTTTTTTTAATCTGTTTGTTTCTTCATAACTTTTATGTCACTGCTTCCTTAAATCAACTTTTTTACACAACAAAGCTAGTATAAAAATTACCTGTAAATAACACATAATACATCTGTTGCCAAATGTCATGTGAAGCCAGAGGAAAAAAACAGGTGTTGTGTAAGACTTGATTTAGCACTGAGCATGAGCAGTAAATTTCACATGCTGGGGAGATTGGTCTAATTTAGTCTGTAATGTAGGTTATGCAAATGTGAGTGACCTTCTCTCTGCCATCCCCACCTTGCCCTGCAATATTTTTTTAACATGTTTGGTAAGACAGTGGTAACATTTCAGAAGCTAAGAAACTGCCCTACTTTTTTTCTTCTTTGAAAGGCCAATGATATAAGGCTCATGAAATCCTACCACCTTGTCCAGCTACGATCTGTCCTGCCCATTACCCAAGCACTGCGTTTGTTACGGACTTAAGCAAAACCTGTATCCGTCTGTTCAGAGTATGTCTGAATAGATGTTCGGATCCTAAAAGCTAGATATGAGATGCTAATAATCTTTATGGCTTTTCCCTTATTTCCATATTCAGTAGTCATGAGAGAAGAGAAAGTTGGTGCTTTCATCTATAGAGAAATCTCTGCACCAAGGCCCAATTGCTTTAAAATGCTAATTTCCCATAATCCTTAGTGTTCTGATTGCTACCTAGGATAGATAGATAGATATTTTGCTCATTCTGTCTTTTTTTTTTCATCCTTATTTGTCCGTTAACCTGCAAATTGGCTTTCTTCTCAGGCTCTGTTCTGCAGAGTCGTAAGCGTAACTTTATGAGCAACTTCAGGCAAATTAAAGCTGTGGATTTAGACTTGTAATTGGGGTGTAATCACTGAAGGGTGCAATTGGGGCCATGCTGAAAGGTGCCATGCTAGTTGATACAATTTTGTCTGCAGCTCAGAGCTGGAGTTTGGCCTGCCTTTTGTCTTGTGAGCTAAAATGCAAGCTGCTTCCTCTGCCACGTCATGGAGTTCACACCCAGGTTAAAGTAGGTCAGTAAGAAACTGATGAATTGCTTTTGACCCAGTGGGAGTTGGTGTTTTTTGAGGTGCACGCAGAATGTGTTCGGTGTGATTAAGGAATAATGAAGAGCACTAAAAGCTCCGTGCCAAATTCTCTGGGGGGTGGGTGAATATTCCTCTATTGAGCAGTGGAAAAAATTGGTATAGAGGGGTGCCAGAAGTCACTTGCTGTATCTAGAAATCCAGACTCCCAGGCCCCTGTCCTTGTCATTTGACCACACTTTAATGCCTTCCACTTTTGTAGTTGGTTTTTTCTTCCCCTCACTTTATAGATTATTCATGGAACTATGAAAACACTTTTTAGTTCGGATTATCTTTTTTATATCTTTTATATCTTGAAAAATCTTTTTTGTCTTGCGTTCTGGTTAACAGGACTAATACAGCAGCAATAGTTCAGATAACTGCATTTGTGTTGCTTGCAGACTGTTTTATGTGCTGCTCATTGCTGCTCTGCTCCCATGATTCTTACGTTATTGGAACTCTTCCTAACTTCCTTCTCTGACAGTCTTATTTCCTGTGAGTAGCTCTCTTCACCTTGTGGCTAAACTTTTAGAAGACTGAATAGCTTATTTTACTCTCAAGCTCTAATACTTAGTCAATTTGGTAGCACCTTTAGCATCTTCAATTCCTATGGGAAGTGTCATTTCCTATGTTTCCCAATGCACTTGGGTTTGTAGATTAGATACCTGCTTGTTTTTAAGTCATCTACTAATTGCATTTGGACACTTACCCTTCTGCAGTGACTCCTGTGGGTCATCCTGTGACCATGTGCATGAAGAACACATGTAGTTGGTTTAACGGCAGTGTCCTGGCGTTATTGGCACCCAGTGTTTGGGCAGGTTACCTTTTTTTCACCTCTCCTGTGTTCTGGTTTTTTGCCTTCAGTGAAGCTGAAGATTGAACTAATTCCACATGTTGAAGTCTTGTAATTCTCAATTTCCTGGTGATGCAGCTGGTCTTGTCTTCTGGTTTTGGTGAAGAGAGAGGCAGGGAGGCATGCCCACTTCTGATTAATTAGATCAAAACTACTGGTTTCACAGGGTTGCTATTCTATATTTCTTGGCCTGACTGGCTGAGCCAGTGAGAATAAATTCATTCTAAATTGTGGGTGCTCGTTTTTCCTCACATGTTGTTTAATAACTTTATGGCTCAGACCAATAACAGGGGGTTGAGGCATCCTCACACCTTCTTCCTTACCCTTTGAAGTCCCTTCCTCAGAATGCTCCTTTGAAAACTGATTGCCATCTGTAGCTCAGACCTGAGCTGTGCCGTGTTCTGTGTCTGATCTGCTTAGTGTGTGACTGGCCTTGTGTAAGCTGCTTGAGCCAGGAACAGAATTTTCAGCAAAATCATTAACTGCACAGCAAAAATAATGCAAGCTCAAAGGTAGCATTAATGCTTCAGTTTTAATAACTCTTGCTCTTACAGTCGAGCAAGTATTGTGATAGGTATCATAATAATCATATTACACCCCCTTTTTCCAGCTATTCCACTACATACAGAGGATATTCAGTCGTCATCGGGATGGGTTAAGTGATACATTTGCACGGACAGTATAAGTAATGTTTGCAGAAATAGTCTTGTCTCTTCTGAAAGACAGACAGACACATGCAGCCAAAAAAGCACTGTCTAGTCTCTCCTCCTCACTTCCCAGTTTACCTTAGATAACTACCTTGCTAATATGAATTCAGTTTTATCTAAGCACTCTTTAAAAATGCGTTTTAACCCCACTTCTTCCATTAAGAATTCAATCTCTAATAACTGCTGTTTCATCTTCCCACTGTGTGAGTTGATGAGTTGTTTTTTCTCCCATCATTAGATACTGTAAGCCCTTTAGGACAGGTAACTTCCTTGTTTGCTTTGATTTTTCTTTGATATACTGCTGTGTATCTCAAGCCACCGGTGAGTAATGTCTCTGGGCACTGATTGATGTTAAGTGCTGGATTTCACTGTGGCAGCAGTAGTTACTTCTTCCACTTGTCCAACCTGCCTCTCTGCAGGAGGTTACTGTCCCTGTGGCAAAGGCAGCTGAATGGATAGTGTTTGCTCCGCGGTCTTTGCAATTCACAGCCAGATATATATTGAACTGAAAATCAACAGCAGCTCGTTTGTAAGGCAGCAGTAGCATCAGAGGAATGGTGAAGCAGTGCAGAGGCATGGGGCGGAGGGAGTGTGAGTTAGTCTATTCAGTCTGTTCTCATTGTCCCCATCAAATTTATGCTTGCCCTCCCGATGTTAGATGTGCTCCTTTTGTAAGTAATCTTAACTGCAAAGGCCTCTGTTTCCACTTTTGAGGGAGCAATTAATTCTGTATTCTTTTCATTATATTTCAAGTGAAAGTGAAATGAAATGTGTAGGTTTGGGATAGCATGAAAACATGCATTGCTAGCTTGCCTTCTGCACTTGTCAGAGCCATCGGTAGAATTTTTCTTGACTTTACTGGGAGAAGTTAAGCAAATACTGGTTCTTTTCAAACTCACTGTTGCCATACTAGGTAGGACAGAGATACATAATACACTTTTTAGGGTTCTTGATACAAAAACATAAGCTGTCCTTTTGAGAGCCTAGACTGAATCAATACTGAAGTGCTTACATAAGAGCTGATGGCAGTTTTAAGCAATGGAAGACGGAAAATGTTGACATATTTTTTGTGTTCTGTAATAGATTTATTTTTTTTTGGTAGCTAAGGCCATGTGTTTGTGGTTACGAAACACTTAACTATTTTCTATTGCTCTTCTCTTTAAGGATACCAGAAGATTTCATTGTGGACTTCTCCAGTATAGTCTTTGGTAACAGGTTAGTATCTTCATGTATCATGCATTGTGCAACAGGCAGGGTTGCAGAAAGCTCTGCTGACAAAAATCCCAGTCCTAGTAAAGGAAGAGCAAAATTCTCTAAATATATGAGAATAAGATTTGTCCCATTATTTTGATTCAACATAACATGATGTCACTCATGCATGGCTATATATGCAGTAAGTAGCTTCATGCCAGTTTTCAATTTTCAGTTTTTCTGTGATCATCACCCATCAGTTTTTATAATGTTCTGTAGCCTCTGTAAGGTGCATTAATACCTACAGATGAAAAATGCATTGCAGAATTAAGCATTTTTATCATCATTATCACTTCAAGTCAGATCTTGAATTGTTGAGAGCCAAGCTACAAATGCCTTCTACATACTGTGGTTCATGGAAGCTTTCTCAAATGGCATTTAATCAAGTCTTAATGTACAGTGGAATTGGGAATTCACACTGGGTGACTTGATGACCTGTATGAGATATCAGGTGCTCTGCTAGCTGTCATTTTCTAAGCCCTATAGCTCAGTAGCTCTAGAGGAAATACTAAATCAAGACCTTTTTGAACAGCCTCTCTCTTTTGTCCATTCTAGGGATTCCTTTTTTCTATATGGTTCTCTGCTAAACCACATTTAGCTGATTCTGCATCTAGAAATTGCTTGAACTTTTGCATATGCAAAACTTTTCTCCTTGAAACTTGCGGTCACTCAGCACACAGCATCACTATCCCAACACTGCTCCAGGTACTCTGCGTGGAAACCTGATAATCATAGTTGTGGTACTTCAGTTAACCTCACCAGGGTCTGAATGCTGCTACCAAAGTTAAAAATATTTTTCATCTCCTCAGTTAAGATCTTAGCTTAAAGCTAAAGGTTCTTGGAGTAAAAATAAATTCAGCCTTCTCATCTTTTCTTTGCTCTTCTGTTTGAATTATAGGTGTTAAGAATGCAAAATTCATGGTTGGAAAGTGGAAATATTGTTTGCAGTGGAGAAAGAAGATAAATTTAGATGTCATTTGAAGCATGCATGATTGTCTGTTTTCTGCTGTGAAATCACGATGCTGGAAAATTTAGCTTTTCCTCATTTCAAAAGCTGTGATTATCCAGTGTAATCTTGCTCTGTGTTTTGAGACCAGAGAAGAGTACCTCAGATTTGATTTCTAGACAGATCTGCTTTTATAATCTTAAATGTAACACTGAATCATACATATGCTTATTGAGTTGTAAATATATATGATTGTGATGGTAAGAGAAGTATTAGCATCTGATCAAAAATTCAGTATGAGCTAGATAACCCAGAAAAATCCATTTTTAATACTTTTCCTGGCATCTTACCCTATTTTTTGCAATTTTGTTCACTAAACAACAGCTCTGAAGTACTGGAAGTTTTACATTTTTATTTTGGTGTCTCCGCGGTTCCATCAAGCTATATAGACTGAAAGAAAAACTTGCCACATTGACACCGTCAAATAACTACACAAAATGAAAACTTTTTTTTATTTAAGGGGAAGGATAACTCTAACTTTCCTTTCTCTGAATATTTAGGATAAACGTACTGCATTTTTTAAAAAATAGTGTAGCTTTTGTTTCTGCCAAGAGGGTGCATTCTGCGTGCCATTGGTCAGCATTTCACACATACCAATGTATTCATTCTCCCTGCTCAGTGGCCTGCTGGGCATGTCTTGTTATGCGAACAGGGAACCGTCCGGAATTTGTCTTTAGTATTGATATTGTTAGGTCAGCTGCTGCTCCAGATTATCTAATCTTTCATTTTCGATGTTCTTCTCTTGCATCCTTTGGCAGATGATGCTCTTGTCATGAGGTGTATCATCCTTTCCATGTATGATTTGGATTGTCTCTAGCTGATCTGTGGTGCTTTAGTTGTTCTAACTTCTGCCTTCTGCACTATGTGCTGACAGTATATTGCAGCTGCTGGAAACTGCGTTTACAAAATGTGATTATAGTCTATAGGTTTTGGGTATAAGATCCATTGAGTCTTTTCTGTTGCGTTTTGCTTTTCCTCTTAGAAATCAGTGGCTTGATTAATGGCCTGTATAATTTCTGTATATATGTTGACCACTATGCACATTCTGTCGTCCTTACAGGATTCTTGCAGTTCCAGTTATGATTTTGTCCAAGCTGGGAAGGTGCTGACAGAAGCTTAAATTAAGCTATAAAAGCCATGACTCTTTCTGAGGGAATGGTACTGAAGAACAGTCCTGACCAGAGCTAAAGCTTTGTGGTTTGGCCACAGAAATGCCTTAGCTTAACAATATTCAGAACCTTCACCTCTGTTTGGGCATTGCTGACCTTTCCCACCACCGTTAACTAGAACGTCTTCCTGTTTTCTCTACTCTTCCTTGCCCCCAAATGCTGGTGCTGCACTGAATGGACTGTTTTCCATTGATGGGAGTTAGTGTGTCTTAAGGAAGCGGCAGCAGGATGGCTATTTTTAGGCATTCCCCAAATTAAGCAATACTCTGGCAGCAGCTCACCACTGAGAGAAAGGCCTGTTCTTACTGTTTAATCCTGCTAATGACCATTCTAGACTCCAGCTCCTCGTGCTTGCACCCAGCTGTGGTGACCTACTTCCTATCCAGTAGTTGACAGTGAGTAAGAACCAGCTGATCTATTTTTTTTCCTGCTCATTCCTTTACCATGCTATTAGGAACGTGTGTCACTTCTGACACCATCCCCCAAAAAAGAATAAACTGTTTCTGATATTGCCTTTGCTAAATGCAAGTGTATTGGAGGATCTCAGTCTGTCACTCCTGTGTACCTTATCAAATCATTAATCTTTCTGAGTAGTTTCTAAAGGCACCAGCTAACTGGCAGACAAGAATCTGAGTAGGGATGTTAGACTATCATTTCTACAGCCCTTGATTTGTTCAGAGAGGATTCCTTTCTGATGTAAAGTCTGTAATTAGATTATGTCTAGCACCGTGGATAAAGGATGTAATGTCTCTTATCCTGCCCTTAGCAGGAGTACTGGAGTAGCTTTGAAATGTACCGTAAATAACTTCCAGAGACATGGGATGTTTAGCAAAAAATAAATAAATATGGTAAGTAACATGAAGTCCACACCAGCTCCCGAATGGACCAGCTCAGTGACCTCATTCTGAAGATATTTCTGCATGTATATCTAAAAATGGGTGTTATGTCTTTGTGTCAGATTTGGCTTGTTGACTTACCCAGAGTGTAAGATGCTGTTAAAATTTTAAAGGTTGTCAACCATCTTGAGTTTAATCACTGTCAACTGTATGTCCTCTCAGAAATAAACTGAGGTTTGATCAGCCTGATTCTTCCTGCAATAAGAGTAATAAATGAAGTCCTTGGCTTCTTATACATTAGACGAGACAAAAATCCTGAAGGTTGTGCTGGGGTTGGCAGTGAACATTATGTAAGGAACTTAGAATTTTCAAATTATGTTAGACTAGCAAAAACCACTGTGTGATTACTATTTTTATTAAAATATGCTTCAAAGTACACTCTGATGTTATATTTTAAAACGTTGCTGCTCGCTAATACTAGATGCTTTCTGCTGAAGGAGCACAGTGACCTTATTCCAACTTTTTTGCTCAAGTCATCTGCCTCATTCCTGCTTGTTCCTGTTGGATCTGCATGAAGGTAAAGATACATTTGCAGATGCCCTTCTACACCTCACAGTTGCATATAATTGAAATAATAGATATGCCAGCCACCAGAAGGACTCTTACTAAACTTTGGAGTGACATCAGTATACTGGAATTACATAGAGTCACTTGGTCTCTTTTTTTAACATGGACCATAGTTGAGCGTAGGAAAAGTGGGTAATCTGAGCACAGCTGCCTTAAATACACAAAACCTTCGGACCTCTCTGAGAATAGATGTAGAAGAGAAACAAGTTCCAGATGGGTTTTTTTCTGAGGAATCTTATTATCTCTTTAGATTGTTGTTTCTTTTATGAATCTGTATTTCAGTCTGCCATTTCTGTTTTACTCTGTAGGCGTCCTGCTTCCGAAGGCACAGCTCTGGTACAAGGAAGTAGGCTGCCAGGTGTCCAGGACTTCAAGTGGAGAGTGGACGTAGCTATATCCACAAGGTATAAAAAAGAATCCTGCATGACCTTAGAAATTATTTTGCCCATCGTTAAACTGAGTTCTTGTGCTCCTTAAAAATGTTAATGGTGTTAAAAAGTATCTTCCTGTTAGGGATTGGCATGTAGCATTACATGGTAAGATATGGAGGGAATTTTCTGAACAGTGTAGTCAATTTATATACAGGTTACTGCTGTTAACATGGACCTGCCAAAAGGCTGCTGCCTTTGTCTTCTACTGATGATACTTTTTAGGCTCCTTATTTGCTTTATCTCCAAAACCTCTGTACTAGAAACATTTCACTCGAAGTTTGAGTTTCTCTTTCAATATTTCAAAACTTAATGGAGCTGAGACAACTCCACAGGTCCTCAGAGATGATGGAATAAATTAGATGGATTGAGCCTCACGCAGCCAGCCAAGCTCTCGGTTTCTCTAGAGCAGTGGAGGGAAATCATCTATTCAACTTCTCAAGTAGACTACCATTTGTATGTTGTGCATGTTAAATAAAATTACTTTCAATCACCTCTACATTTGGCTGTAGATACTGCAAAGAGAGGCTTCAGAACAGCAGCTTTACACTGCCATAATTATGCAATTGGACCACCTCCTAGTTTCTTTCACAAAACGGGACTAAAGGCCTTTGTGGCCATCCTGTCTGTGCCTGCAGTGGATAGCTTCTTGCCATCTGCCACAGCAGAGGCAGCTGGGGGATGGATCTTTGGCTAGACCCAGAGGAAACAGAAACCACTTGTCTGTGCTGTTCCTGGTCTCTGTCTAGTTCTAACCAAGATGCACGAGGGTGAAAGAAATTGGAAGATGATCCAGTATTTGTCAGTATTGTAAATCATTAGCGTGAGTGACTTCATTGCATTCATGAATACCTGCCTCTGAGGGAGAGTACAGTCTCATTGCTGCCATAGTCGAGAGGCCCTTGGGTAATCGGGGATAGTCTTCCTGAAATCAAGAAAAAAGATTCCTAAGTGAACATTGTGATGACCACAAGCTACCAGTTCAGGTGACTTTCAGATGAGCAGTGCTGTAAGCACCACACACGTATCACTATGCATAAAAAATCTATACCTATAAAGAGACCAAAATGTACAGATAAACATCCCCAGGCACAATGCTTGCAAGCTGCAAGCAAATCCTATGATTTGTTTTCCAAACAACACAGGAACAATATATTATCTTTTTCTATTTTCCTGCTTCTTATTTTCCTTTCAAGTCAACCTCCCCCCTGGGATTTCTTGTTTATCATCCAGCAACACCCTCTGTAAAGAGGTATGGCTTCTGGCTGTAATGTCTGTCAGTCCTGAGCAGGCTTTGGTAACACTGGGTGATGGAAGCTGCACAAAAATGACTCATTTCCCCTCTTTGGGTCATCAAATAAAATAACAACACACAAATTTAGCATGAAGACTGGAAGAGCTTGATTCCCCAAATGAGATGGCAGTGGAAAGTATGAAGGGTTGGAAAGGATTAATGCAACATGGTAAATCGACTAAGAAAACTGTGCATTATTACTAGCAGTATTTGTTCAGCTCTTATCCCTGTCATAGTTCCACTGAACTGGTTATTATGTAAAATGAAAATGCTCCTAAACTTGCAGCTACTAAGCTATTAAAAAAATTTTTAGTCTCAATACTGAGGTAAATTGGACAGGACTCCAGCCAGCCAGGTACAGGACTTTGTGATACTCATGTTCTATGTAAAGCCTATGTGAACATCTCAAATTGGTGATGTACAATGCTGTACTCATCACACTGCTGATGTCTATTGTTGTAATACTAATAATGTAAATAATTTCAGTTCACTGGCCCGTGCACTTCAACCATCCATTCTAATGATGATGAAGCTTTCAGATGGGACAGCTCATCGCTTTGAAGTAAGTCTGATTGCCATAATAAATGAAAAAGAAACCACTTGAAGTTCTTTTTAGAAAGTTGAATTACTATTTAAAATGCTAAAGCTTTTTTAAACAGTGCATTATTATTGATTGGTTTGCTTTGGAATCCTTCATGTTCAGTGTAGCTGCATACAATATAGAATCATACCTTGTTCCTACACACATTTCACTGAAACCTCATTTGTTAGAAGAATATTAATTACTGAAAAGCACTGTTGCATAATATCTGGTCTGAGTAAAAACTATGTGTTTGTTATCAACTATAACCTTCAGGCCTGATGATGGCTCTTGAGGGCAGGAAAATTACTGGGGTAGTTTATATAATCATACATTATATCATACAATTCTGAACCCCCTACGTTTGGTAAAGAATGGTAACGTTCTCCTCTGTGGCAGAGGTAGCTTTATTCTCTTTCTTCAGTACAGTTCTTGCTGCTAGAAAGAAAGTAAAAAAAATCTTTGCTTTTTACCTCAGAATTAGTCAGTGGTAGTATTTATGACACTCTACGTAAAGGCTTGCCAGAAGATGGCATAAACTCTTCCATATTTTTAACCTTTGAAAAGGAATGCTATTTGTTCTATAAATAACATGGTGATGTGTACAAGAATTCAGTGCACAGCAGGCATTCTTACATTTGAACTCTGTAAAGATTTTGGCTTCAGTTCCTGTGTAAGTAGTAGTCTGGAGGAAGCACTAGAGCACTGTGAGTTGAAAGAGGTGGACTGACTGTACTTTTACAAGGCTTCACAAGAAGGCAGCTGTTGAGGAAGGCACAAATTACATGCTCCATTGCAAAGTGTTGAGAGTGTCACTTCACAGAAGATCAAATTCACCCCTCTGTGGACAGTCCAGCTCAGAGCTTCCTGTAGGCTCCGTTTAATGTCTTCATGGAACTTAAATGATACCATGGACTTCAGGTTAACCCTGTACAACAGGGTAGGATTCACTTACAAGAATAAAAACTTGTCCATTCTTTGCTGTTTAGATTTGGGCCTTTTTTTCCTGGTATATAATGTCAAGTCTGGGTGGCATTGTTCCTGGTTGGTTTGGTTTGGTTTTGGTTTTTCTTGTTGTAAGTCTGTGTAAGACCCTTTGCTATTCTGCAGTGGAGATATGTTGATGTGCTTGTCCAGTATGCACAGTAGTTCAGATATCTGATAGCAAACAATGGCCTTCTCTTCAAATCAGCCCGCTGCTGCTGCTGCTTAGATCTGAATGCCAAAGATCTGGCTGTAAACCTGATTTCTGTATCTGATGAGTGGTCTTCCCACAGTTAGTATGTCTTTGGGATAAACCTATGTTATGGTTCAAGGTACCATATGCAAGCAAATATAGTCCTCACCTCTGCAGTTTCCTTTCATTCGGGCATGTTGAGAATGTCCTAACTAAGAGGGCTTCTGCAGGATGTTAAGTCCAGAAGGTAATTCCGTTATGAACAGTTTCAGAATGTGTACACCACAGGTTATACACAAAGTTATACACTTTGGTCTCTTGGGTTTGGTTTGGTTTTTTAATTGTAGTGTGATCTCTGACAACGAAGATTCTTTTTCAAAAGCAATGGGAATTGCTGCATTTTGAGTCTTGCGTATATGTCAAAAATGAAAAGGACATGATGCCTTTTTATGTATTTCTGATGCATGTGGAAAATGCAAATCGGGTGTTGGATTCCTCTCACATAATTGATATCTGCTACAGTAGGCAGAAGGATATGACAAGGGACTCTGTCAAAAGAACTGTGTGTCTTCAGTGTAGTCACAGCAGTAGAGTAAATGCAGCAGTGCTCTGCAGAGCAGCCTGGGACTACCCAGACACTGCTGGTACTCATGTGAGCACGTGCATTTGTGCGCTGCACCCAGTCTCAGCCTGTGCTCACGTGTGGTTCTCCATCTTGACAGATAATAGATTTCCATCCATTTGGCTTCACAGGCTTGAAATGATAAAGGAAAGTCCATTAGTCTCCTGCATAGTTGAAAATGTTTTGTATATTTAATCAAAATGTTTTACCTTCCATGTATAGATGGTGCCCAGTCCTCTTTGCTCTTGAGGTTGCTGCCAAATCTCTTGCTTTGAGGCTCAATTACTTTCTCCTGCAAGTTTGGACAATCAGAATATCTGGAATTTGCTCCTTGAGAATTCTGTAGGCTCCACAACCTTCCAGGTGTCTTCATCTTCCCTTCTGATCCTCAACTTCCTTACTTTACCACAGCATCCTTCAGTTTACTTTCTGGAGAAACTTCTCTCACATGAGGCAGTATAAAAAATGTACTATGTAGCTGTTGTTTCTGCTTTTTTCCACTCTGCTGTTCTTTTTCACCCAGATGATTTAGTTGAATTAACTGAATATTATTAACCTGTTAACCTCAAATTCTTTGTCTTAAACCTAAAAAAAAAAAAAGGTATTTGGAGATTGGGCTGACACCGTGGAATGTTCCTATCCTATCTTCAAAAGTTCCTAAAACGTTTCATGTTTTCTAACTGGAATATTCTGTTTCAGGTGCCAGTTGCAAAGTTTCAAGAACTGAGATACAATGTTGCCCTTATACTGAAGGAAATGAATGATTTGGAGAAAAGGAGTATACTGAAGATCCAGGACTGAACACTAAAATGGGGAGTTTATAGAACAGATTTGAAACCCTCAGCGTGTTTTGTGAATGGCAGAGCAGGGGACCATCCCCACTTTGCCTGTATGAACTCCAGTGTAGCATTTATGATCTCTGCTGTAAATATTTTTTCGATTCAAGTGTTAAAAGCACAAGCTTTTTTCATAAGACTTAGGAAAAAAAAATATATCTATGAAAAAGTATAACGTTGTTTGTGAGCATTTTTGCATGATTCATCAAAACATTTTTTAAATAACTGGCTTAATAGATGTAAGAGTCATTTATTTCTGATTATGATTCATCATTCTAATTATTTTTGAAAGCCTGCTACCGGAAGCCCCATCAATGTGTATCATAAGAAAGCTCTGCAAATAAAAAGCTCTCTCAAATAAAAAATAAAATAAAAAAACTACATCTGCGCTCTAGTATGACAAATATGAACTTAAGTTTTGCATAAGTAAAATTGCTATCTGGCGTCTCACGAAGTGACTGAGTATAGCTACAGATATTTAAGGGCTAATTTTGAAGAAAAATGGAAGTCTGTGGATCAAGAAGCATTGACTGTGCTTTCAGAACTAATTCCATGGAATTGCTGAAGTGGAAAGTTGCAGTCTAAGGCTTTAGCTGGTTGATCGGAATGGGCTAAATACCAGTAATGTCATAGATTTGTAACTGAAAATGCCTGCCTTTTGTTTCATGTATTTCCTATATGTTCAATGTGAATGGAACATTACTGGGCAGAAACTTCTGGCACTGTGGTGACAGCAAATTGCAGGAGGCAGCAACCTCCTTGGAGACCACTACAGCTACATACTAGTTAATAGTGCAAGTCAGACCTCTGGATGAAGAGGCTGCGTACAGCCTCTGGGATGAAAGTCACAGGTGTGAGGATATCCAAACCCTCAGGTCAATAAAACAGTTAAGCATAGGCTGACATTCCCCAAATTGGTTAGGCAGCCCCTGGATTGGTCAGGCAGTTGGACTTAGATGATCATTGTATGTCCCTTCCAACTGAAATATTCTATTCTATGTTATTCCTTTCCCCTATGAGTAAATCTTGGAAGAACTCCCTTAACTGGAAGCATATGTTTTAAGTCTCATTTTAACGCTGTGGGACCACAAGTATCCCCCTAAGAGTTTTGCCAAGAAGGGATGCATTCCTCAGTCATTGCCTGAACAAATTTTCTCCCAGCAGCAAAGATATGGAGGCTGTGAGCAATGGCCCAAAGACAGGAGAGGCCGTGGGCCCTAGAACTACAGGATTTTTCTGGCTGTCTAAAGTAGTTTAGAAAGCACATGCCACTACCATGGTTAAGCATTGGCTTATTCTAGCTGCATTCAGAGTTTCTACCTCAGTAGTACCACCCATGCTCCTCTCTCATTTTTTTTCATTGTAGAACTTGCCTTCATCTTTCTCACTCCCCACAGAAACCTATTGAAATCATGGATTCAGGAGGCCTTTTACACTCCCACAGATGTTTGTGTAGGAAAGGATGACTTGGCTCTTAGATTTTAAGCATCAAAACAGGCATAAAAATACTTCATTGTCATACTTTTTAAGAGGAGGCTTGTTTGACAGGAGTCCATACCAATCTAAAGACAGCTAAATAGCTGTGGTCCAGAGGGCTTTTAAAGCCTGTGCAAGAATGTTTCCTGCAGCTTGAAATAAAACTGTCAGCCATGATTTCAAACTGTTCAAAAGCTGCATGTTCCATTTGCTTTGTAGGCTACTCATCCATAACTTCCAGTTTTGATCCATTCTGCATCTTAACTACTGTGTTCAGGTCACATCAACGCACATGAAGAGGAATTAGCTCCTGTCACTTCAAGTGAACTGTAGATTGCATTAATGTGAAGTTTTCTTTTTGGTTTTACTTTATGAAGCTTGTCCATCTTCTTTCTGGAATGACATTGTCACAAGCTGTAAAACAAAATACATATTCTTATGTTCCTTGTTACAACCTTTCCCTTCTGAATGTTTAGATTTACATGGTTTCAAACCGGACAGGTATCTCAACTGAGACCATAAGTGAAATCTTTTCAGACAAACGGAACACTGCATGGGTGTAAAATGACCTACTGCTTAAGATATTTGCAAAGTTGGTTTTTTTACTGGTCAGAGTAGAAGAATCCAAAAATACCTTTACCTTCTAGACAGAATATATTCATTCAGATGTTCTCCTGTAACAGTAATTGCCCATGTTCTCCAGAAATAGAAAGGCTTCCTGACTGTTTCCTTCATGTTCTCTGCAAGAGGTGATGGACGTCTTAAGTCTCGAGTTTGTGTTGCCACACATTAAGCAGGAGTTTAATGTAGTTGGAGGTTTACCATAGACACTGAGGGGTACTTAAATACTTAAGATTTTCATTCCTCTGTACTTAAAAGTACATTTGGGCTTTCCTTCTGAAAGATTAGCTTTCCAGTAGAACAGCAGTTGTCATGAAAATGGCTAGTGGGACTGGCTAGTGGATAATTCGTCAATTTTGATAAAATACAAGCCTTCAAATTATTGTTAGGTTTCTCAGAATTTCATGTTGAATTATGTGTTAAATATTTGTTCAACACTGAAATACTTCTTACTTCACAATTAAAATACTCTGGAATTTGAATTCCACTGAATTTCTGACTGTAGCCCTTTCATTCCAATACAGAACAAAAGTAAGCTTCTAAGACTCTGGGTATGTCTGAGCAGAAATGTTCAGAAACCCAACTCACTCTAGATGTGATTGCACTTTAAGAACACTCTGTGTGATCTCCCTGTACCACACGGGGAAAGATACAACTTGAACAGGATGCTCGCTTTGTTGGTCCCGAGGTCTTGCCAAACCTACCACCAGTCAGCCATCAATCAGGTAGGAAGTTTGCATGGGAAGGGCACTGCTGTTTTTTTTCTTACTACACACACATTGATGGACCAACAGGCAACAACCACCTTTCACAGGCTCTATTGGTAGTTTCCCCTGAAAAATAAACCCCAGTGATCCAGTTGCTTTCTCAACTTGATGGTGCCATGCATTTATTTAAATTGGCTGATATATTTTTGAATGTCTTGATTCTAGCAATTTTCTAATCATGGCATATGAACATAAATTTCTCCATTACACCTTTTCTTTCATTTCCTTTATAACATATGGAACATTATGCCTTTTCTTTCAAGATTAATGTGTCAAAACCTATTTAGAATAGAACTTGTACTTGATTGTTCTCCAATGTAAATCCTGTGTGTACAATAGCAGAGATGCCCAGCGTGTGCAGGAGTCGTCACAGCAGGTAGAATGCAAAAGGAGAGTAAAAGATAGTTGTCAGAAGTCATTCAGAGATTCAGTGGCAAAATCACACAGAACTCATGTGTCTTCACTTCCTATTCTCTAATGGCAAGTCGGCACAGCTTCCTGACATAATGATCAAGCCTCCCTCTTGGTTTTGGTTTTTTCTTTTCAATTGGTTCAGCCCCATGGGCCATCAGTCCAAACCTGTTCTCGCCTATGGACTATGACAGCGTGTGCAGTGCACTTGAAAGCAAAAAGCCATCTGTGGCTGTATTTTTTATGTGACTTTTCACATCCCTACTGCCAGTAGAGAAGGAGCTTTGTCAGCATGACTAGCTGGTCAGAATTCACACTTGGGTTAGTTTTGTTTGAAAGGGGAAAGAAACAGGTTTGTTGGTTGTTTTTGTGGTCTCAAAGCGTGATGCAGATTGCTCCAGAAGAAGGCTGAAGAATGTAGTCATACTCTCATACTGCCTGTTACGCCAGCCATTAACTGCTGGAAGAAGATCAGTATTGTGCTCCTTGTCATTAAAAGGAAGAAATTAAACCTCCCTTTGTAGAAAAATCATACAAAGGAGATGTGCTTTTGCAGAGTGAGTCACCTCCTAGCTTTAACTTCTGCTTAAGTGAAGGATAAATCCATTCTTGATCTCATGAACAATGCAGATAGGTAGGGGGTTGCACTTTTTTTTTTCCGCTGCTCTTTCTTTTTTTGCTTTCTAATCAAGTACACCTCATGACCCACTGTTGCTCCAAATCCATGAATATATGTATGAATATATGAAAACTCCACGCTTTCAGGATATATTATATAAAAACACCCCAGCATATCTAGACTGAGCATGTACCATTCAATTTACACAGCTGTTTTTGCTAAAACAGTCTTTGCAGAGCCAGGCCTGATGTCGGAATCAAATATTTTGTAGCTGTTTGACTTCTAGTGAACAGTAAATTACTATCTTGGCTTCAGAACATTTTGCCACTAGTGACCGTACAGCTCACTCTGTACCTGTCACACCCCGCAAAGTAACATTTACCAAACGCCACACATACCAGGAACTAGCAGAGGCAGAGCCAGCTGGTTTCTCCCCTAAGAAGTCACAGAGTTGTTGCCCATAGGCCATCTATGATAAGATCTTAACTGTTTTCTGGCTGTGGATAAAGGTCTGTCTGTGTTCTGAACCCTCATAAGCATACAGCTTCCACCACAGCAGTAGTTCATAAAGCCCAGCTGCCCTTTTCTCTTGAAATGTCTCAGCCACGTTCCTGCTGGTGTAAGAGAGTTCCCAGAAGTACATTTCACAGTGCTTTTTTGAGACTCATTTCAGCCCTGAGTGATCAGACTGTCAGCGAGCCCTGCGGATCCTTTCATACATTGTAAATAGAAACTGTGGAAGTTCCTTTCAGAGCACAAATGCTGATTACATTTTCTATGATAATCTATTTCCATTCCCTATCTTGAATTCATGCGCTGCTAGAAACCTTCCCTTTATACCATGACTTATCTCTTTAAGTGTCTGCTATGTAACTATGTAAATACTGGTGGCGTATGCCTGATAGAGAGATTGTCGTTGCATTGCTACTGGTAACCAGTGGTTATGTCACTTTCCCTCGCTTGAATAGGCTTTGACTCATGGTGGTTTTCAGGACAATGGTTATAAAATAACACACTGAGGGGTTGCCGAGACTATAGTTTTGCAATAGAGACAACTGTCAACCTCAAGGCTACAAGAAAGCCTTTTTTTTCCTTTCTTTTTTTTTTTTTTTTAATTTTGGTGGGGTTTTTTTGTTTTGGGTTTTTTGTTTTTGTTTTTGTTAAGAGTTTTGTTCTTGTTAAGGGTTTTGTTCTTTTATAGTATGTGTTTTTCTTGCATGGAAGTTTGGAAAGAAGTCTATATTAGCAAGCTTGAGTCTGGTAGGAAAACCCCACACTCACGAAACACTAATTCTTTCTAACTGTTCTGAAGCATTGCTTGACTGACATTTTAAGTGCTTCAGTTGCCCTGCCTTTCTTTGAATTATTTGATGGCAGGATGTACTATATTTTGGATTATTGTCTGACTTAAGTGATGGCAGAAAGGATTACTGAAACCAGCGGTTATTCAATTAACCTTTTTCTTTTTCTAATTAAAGAACTTGCTTGG